TGCCTAAGCACAATTTTGCAAAGTTGACATGTGTTAGTAAAACCGTACATATCATCACAACTACTTTGTACATCCAGGTGAATTATATCTTGTTTTTTTCAAGAAAAAAATGGGCTTTCATTTGGTGGTAAATGGTAATAAATATCTCCTGATTTTGTTTTTATTATCAAAGGAAACCTGGCCCAAAACATAAAAAAAAAATTTTTTTCTTTTTATTTAGCTGTGTGTTTCTTGTTACTACCATAACCTACCCCAAAGAACAACCCAAAATAAATTCTCCAGCTATTGACAATCACATTGATACCCTATATGCATATGTTATTTGTTGTTTGTACCCTTAGTACAGCTCAGAAACAATAGTGCAAATTTTGTTTTTGTTTTTTTTTACCTAAAACACACGGACACTGACACTAACTGACACTGATACCAATTTTTTTGTAAATCCTGACCTTTGACTGCGACCGTTTGACCTTGACCTTTGACCCTGACCTTGACCCAAACACCCTGGCACTGAACTAGATCAAACCTTGATCTAGGTTTTTTTTTTTTTTTAATATTTACTTTATTTATTTTTTTTTTATAAACCTTTTTTTTTTCCTCTATGCCAGGAGTTAGAGAGATACAAGAGATACAATGTATCTCTCTCCTCCTTTCATAGAAAGAAAAACAAGGGGCCGGGCTGTACAGTGACTGATCACTGTGATAGCCAATCAGAGGCTATCACAGCAAACATGTGACCCGGAATCGGGAGTCCCGAGTCCCGATCATTAGAATGGGACCTGGGGCTCTCAGTGACACCGCGGTCTTTGTGCTGGGAGCGTGCTGTGTGGCGCACTCCCAGCAGAAAGACAGGTATGCAAATATGCGGCCCCTCGGAAAAAAGCCCTGTTCTGTGAGGCCGCATATTTGTGTGATGTCGGCGTCAAGGGGTAAAACAGATAAACAGTGCCACCTTCAGGCTGCAGTAGCATCTACAGTGCCATTTGCTACTTTTGGCATATTTTGCCAATGATGCCTCCTGTCTTCATGTGTCATAAATGGCATAGTGATCACATGATCAGGAACCACTCTAATTGGTTTCTGTTGGTTGAACTAACACTTGGTACAATTGAACCAAACTTTATCCGATATTGATTGTCCTGCCTTCCCCACTGGTCTGCACTCACACTGTGCTTAAATGAAGTGTTTCTGGGTATGCTTATATCATCACCTCCACCAACCAGACCACTTTTATTCTCCTATGTTCAGTGATGTATGGAGAGTTATGTGCTCATGCATAGTCTGAACTTACATTGAAGCGATCTATACTGGACTACAAGTGGCAGGTGCTCTAGGCCACCTCTTACAAGTGGTCTTAGATATGATACGCGTAACCATAGCTGAGCATTAAAACACTCACAGTATACAAAGGCACCAGACCAAGGAAGTCAACCCTGCCAAAGCACAAACACAAAGAAATACCCCTCCCCCATAGGACTTTATGTGCAGAATTATGGATACAAAACATCTAAAAGAAAATGTCAATTTTGTATTACACAAATTTCATAAAAAAGCCCCATATGTCCAATAAAATCAATAAAGTAATTGCACCCAAATGTTTACATATATATAACATAGCATTGGGTTGTGCATATACCCTGTTGTACAGAGATACACCAAGAAACTGCCAACAATGTAACGTAGCTTTGTTACTTGAGGTGTAGTCCTCAGGTAGATCCCAACATGTTTTGGGAGATAATTTCCTTCTTCAGGGTGAAAAAATGGGTATATCAATTATGAAATATAACATGCAACGATAAATCATATGTTAGGCAAAATATGTGAAGCTTCATAATAAATAAACACATACACACATGATAGGCTGATATACATATGTATACACATGATAGACAATATTCAAATGGGACTTACAAGTTGTATGTATGTAGTGCTTCATTAAAAACTGCAAGATCAGCAAGTCATATGGAGCTGGTATCTGCCACAATCCACACAGGCCACACAGGGAAATCACCCAGGGATCCACCACACAGCCAAAAGGACCCTAGGTGTATGCAAAAAAGAATCTATAATGAAAATTTAGAGCCAAACATTTTCCATAGGGGGACAAGCACCTCACAAAAAAGTATATATGCACAGAAATGAATATAGAGTCAGTGGACTCCAAGAATGGAGGTAAGCAAAAAATCAGGAAAGAAAAAAACAATTCTATATTGCAACCATGAACTGAATAGAGAAGATAGGGCTTACCAGCCTCACAAATGTAAAAAGCATCAATGCATGATAGTGTCAGTCCACAAAGAGACTGACAGAATAGAAAAGGCCCCCCCCATAAATACTTAACCAGGTGAGGGGCCACCTACAACATAGCCATTCAGTCCAAAGGGATATTTAAGGACGCCATCTGGTCCGCCAAAACCAGGCGGTACCAGAAGCATCTATCCAAGGGTCCCACGGTGCACACGGTGTCGACCCACCCATATGGACGGGTTGACATCATATGCTGCCGTGCTGCTGTCACGCACCGAAGGGCCATCATGCCCAAGGAGTGGACGTGAATGCGGCAGCAGGATGCAAGCACACAGGCTACACCTACTGGGAAGTCCCACAGTGTGCCCCACCAACTATGGCCAACACCAAGGCCCACCCCTGGCCTCACAAAGAGACAAGGGAAGCCTGTGTGTGTAGGGCAGGAAGTAATGAGCCAACTGAGAGCTCCCCCAGTGCTACCCAGTGGAGTGAAGTGGCACATCACAGCTCCAGAGACAGACAAAACAAATTCTCCACTGATAATTTATACAAGTATTTGTGAACAACAACATTGTTATTACAATAATACAAACATGATATGTACTGTATATACACTGAAGCTGGAATGAGACAAGCATCTATTTCAGGAGAAATGCATCATTGAAAAGTCAAATTATATAATAAACAGAAATAAATGATTGAAATATATAAGAAACCAAGATAAAAAAAATAAAAAAAGACATAACTCATATAAATGAAAAACAATAATACTGAGAATCCAACAGGGCCAAATCAGAGATGTCAAGTTCGCACCCACCTAAGGTAAAACCCTGCAGGAATGGTTTAAGATTGAATATTTCGTTCAAACCTGGTGGTGCAGAAGATGAAATGCATAGACCACATGTTGGTAAATACGCCTCCAAAATTCTAGCTTTGTTTTCTCAACGTAAAAACATCCACATTCACTGGTAAGTAGATATATTACCCCTCGCCTTGCAATGGACAAAGTGTTTAGGATGAAAGATATGTCCATTGGGTAATCTATTGTGAGGCTGCAAGTCCATATATTTGCAATGTCAATATGCTCCACATTGATTATTATTATACAGGATTTATATAGCGCCAACAGTTTGCGAAACGCTTTACAATATAAGGGAGACAGTACAATTACAATACATTTCAGTACAGAAGGAATATGAGGGCCTTGCTCGTGGAGCTTACAATCTAAAGAAAGGGTATGATATGCGTCAATAAACCTTTTGCAGGTGTCGCCACTGGTTGCTTCCAAACATTCACTGTGTACCAGCCTATTGCCCACAGATAGAACCCCTCTGTAGGTCAAGGCTGGCCTATCAGGTACAAAACGGCCCACAGAGGGATCCATAGGTAATAGATGTCAGTCATTTTTAATAATGTTTTGATGTTTTTGGGTGGAATATCTAGTATTGATTCTGGTTGTGTCGTTATGTTTAACTAGTTATTAGAAAACAATAGGTCTTGGCATGATAACTTAGAAGCACACCTGTAGGTCTTTTTTAGAGAAGTGTTAGTGTACCCATAATCTAAGAGGCATGTTCTTAGGATGTCTGCCTCTTTTTGAAAGAGTGCGTCATTAGAGCATTGAAGTCATTCCTATTAATGGATGTCAGACACTCTATCAATAGATCTTCTGATACATCCCACAGGACAAAAATGTCATCAATATAGTGCTAACCATGCCAAAATGTGGTCCACATACATTGAAAAATTGTCATCCATAAATGCACGCTCCCATTCCCCCAAGTACAGTTTGGCGTAAGAGGGGACACAACAGGTACCTGGAGGAAGTGGGGGCCATTGAATATAAAGACATTGTGCCTCAAGATTTAATCAAGAAAAAGGGGAATACATTCATAAAATTCCCCAAGTACAGTTATAACTGCCAGCGTGAGTACACCCTGATCTTCAGTGGGGACCTGAGCATTCAGTAACACACAGGATTGTATTTCTGGTTAGGCCACAATGGTCATTGCCTAGGAAGCCACCACCATTAGGAGAAGCACAGAATCTTCCAAACTTCCAGGCTTACCATAATATCATATTGCCACCCCTGGCCTGGCATGCTGGTTCTGACCATCAGTGGAGATTTGAATGTTCAATGAAATCCAGGGCTGGATTTCTGGCTAGGCCACATAGGCTGTGGCCCAGGGAGTCACAGGGACTAGGGGAGGCAGCGAGCCCTCGAAACCTCAATTCTTCTCGTATCAACTAGTCATCTCTGGTCCAGCATGCATGTGTCGCTCCCTTTTTTTTGCTCTCCCTGCACTTTCTCACCAACACTGCCCCAGTCAAATAAGTGGAGTCCCATCATCCCCATCCTTCTGCACTCCCTATGCTACAACTTCTTACCACTATGTCACCATTTCACAATCACCTTGTTTCTGGTTGTATCAGTGCACTACTGATTGTCTCTGCGAATATGCTTCTGGTTCTGTCAGTATAGTACTGATTGTGTCTCTGTGGGTATGTTTCTGGTTTTGTCAATACAGTAGGGATTTTGTCTTGGAGGACATGTTTCTGATTGTGTCGGTACAGTACTTATTGTATCTCTGTGGATATTACTAGATGTGTCAGTTCTGTGCTTAACCACCTTCCGCCCGCCATATAGTACAATGACGAGCTCAAGGTGGCTCTCTTGTTCTGATAGGACGTCATATGGCGTCCTTCCATTCTCACCGCGCATGCGCAGCTCAGGGAGCACGCAGCGCGGCGATCGCTGGTGCGCTGTGTCCCTTGGACCCGGAAAGAGCCAAAGACGTTGGCTCGGTCATGTGATCAGCTGTGTCCAATCACATCTGATTACATGTAAACACGGAAATACCGGTTATCGGCATTTCTCTTCTCTCGAACTGTCACGCTGACAGCTCAAGAGGAGAGGAGAGCAGGTAATCAGCTTTCCGCGGAGGGGACATCTACACTGATCATCAGGGCACTGAAGTGCCACCTGTCAGTGTCCATCAGTGCCAGCAGTCAGTGCTCATCTGTGCCACATGCCAGTGCCCATCTGTGCCACATCAATGCCACATATCAGTGCATACCAGTGCACATCAATGCCACATATCAGTGCCCATCTGAGCTGCCTTTCAATGTCACCCATCAGTGCCAGTCAGTGCCACCTATCAATGCCAATCAGTGCCACCTATCAGTGCTGCCAATCAGTGCCACCTATCAGTGCCAGTCAGTGTCGCATATCAGTGCCGGTCAGTGCTGCCTATCAGTTGCAGTCAGTGCCGCCCAGGGGTGGACTGACAACTCATGTAGCCCCGGGCAATTGGGGATCATGGGGCCCCTGTGTCCTTGCCCACACTCAAAAAAGCCTATAAAAAGGTACCAGGGGCATTTAATGGGGCCCCCTACTGACCCCGGGCCCTCGGGCAGTGCCCGAGTGCTCGAATGGTCAGTCCGCCCCTGGTGCCGCCTAACAGTGCCAGTCAGTGCTGCCTAACAGTACCAGTCAGTGCCGCCTATCAGTGCCAGTCAGTGCTGCCTATCAGCGCCATATATCAGTGTCATGTATCAGTGCTGCCTTTCAGTGCCCATCAGTGATGCCTGTCAATGCCCATCAATGCAACCTACTAGTGCCTCCTCATCAGTGCCCATCAGTGCCACCTATCAGTGTCCATCAGTGCAGCCTATCAGTGCCGATGACTGCAGCCTCATTAGCGCACATCAGTGAAGGCGAAAAATCACTTATTTACAAAATTGTATAACAAAAACTAAGAAAAAAACGTTTTTTTTTCACAATTTTCAGTGGTTTTTGGTTTGTTTAAGAAAAAAAAATAAAAATCCCAGAGGTGATTAAATACCACCAAAAGAAAGCTCTATCTGTCTAAAAAAAAAATGATAAAAATTTCATATGGGTATAGTGTTGCATGACCGCGCAATTGTCATTCAAAGTGTGACAGCGCTGAAAGCTGGAAATTGGCCTGGGCAGGAAGGGGGTATAAGTGCCCTGTAGGCAAGTGGTTAATGTATCTTTGGTTGTTTCAATTCATACTTATGTGTTTACTGGTTACATTATTTGGATGATTGTAGTTTTAAGCACAGCTAATTAATGTTTATTGTATTTATATAAGGGTGAGGAGGAGAGTACAATGCCATAAGCATTTATTAGGGGTGGTGGAAGTGGTGGCACAAGGTGAGAAATACATCCTCCACTCGTGGCATTGTGCTGGGAAACATTAATCACTTACCTACAGTGCCATATCTTTAAAAGATGAAGTGGTGGACACTTATTTCTACAGCATCAATTATAAATGGTATTACTGAAAATAACCGTTCAGCGGCTAGCGCACCCATTAATGCCTGTGAACCGAGCCATTGTCAAATGGCTTGGTTCTTAGACACTTTGCACAGAGCTAAGCTGAACAGCTCTGTACCTTGGATTGCTGTGATTTGTCATAAAAAGATTACCCTAATGTTTCTTCCGTGACCCATGTAATAACCCTTCCCCTCCCTTATGCTGTACATCTGAACATGAACCCTCTCATCTCTATCCTCCCACTGTATGTGATCTGTACATTAACCTCTTCATCACCTCCTCCTTCTTTGTAGGGCCTGTATGGATTGTTTCTAGAGCACTATTACCAAAGTCCATATTTTAACCACCTAAAAATTGTGGGAAAAAGTAGTTAATCTTGGGGTGCCTACTTTCAGAAAAGGGGCTTTTTTGGGGATGTTTGCACTGTTCTAAATTTTTTATTTAACCATAAGGAAAAGTAAACATTTTTATTTTTTATTTTTTGGTCTTTTTTCCTATATTTGGTAATAAACACACACACACACAAAAAAAACAGTGGCTATCAAATACTCCCAAAAGAAAGCTCTATTTGTCTAAAAATGAGCAATGTTGGAAATGTTAATTGTCAAAGCATCACAGCATTGGAAACAAAAAAATGTCCTTCAATGGTAACACAGGCTGATACTGTGGTTAAAATATTGGGGCAGGAAGGGTTAAATAGGCAACTGAAAAACTGTTTCCTGAAGAAATGCATTGCTGGCCACATACCTGGCAATTGTCTTGGCAATTCTTGAGCTTTCCATTAGCTCCCAGCCAAAGTAATCTGCCAACACAGTTTCATGTTTTTCTTTGGTTTTGAGCAATCAAACTGTTGTAAAAATTGATCAGAAATTCCTCAAGAATGGCACATCATTTTGATCTATTTTTACCACACATTTGGTCACTTAGTCAGCAAAAAAAGTTGGTTTACACAAAAAGAATTAATGCCAGTGGATTAGCCTGGAGACAGGCAAACTCTATGTGAATAACAACGTCAGCCTATACAGTATGTTCTTTCAAAAACATTTTATTCTTGTATCTCACCCAGCACGTCACAATAACTTTAATGTATACTGTAGATATAATAAAAACAAACATTCTGTAAGTTATTATTGTTGTATAGTTAGTCTTGATCTTCCCATTCTTTACTATGGCCATTACATTACTTCTTTTGTCCTATATTTTATTGTTTTTTTTGTCAACAATTTAAGACATGTGCATTCTTTCCAGAGAATATGAAGGTAGGCAGACTAATCAACATCTATTGCTTCCAATTTTTGGGTCATTGTAGAAAGTATTTTGTAGCAGTGTATACAGCACTTGCCAAATAATGTAATATTTAATAAATATACAATGAAAAAAAACATGGGTCAATTTATCAATGTTTTTACCCAAGCTTCACACAGCTTTCACCCAAGAATTATTATTTTTTTTAAATATCCTTAAAACAAACCAGACTGTAAAACTAAGTAAACAAAATATGTACCTGCATAGCCCCTCTGAGCATAATTCATGCCACAGATGAGAAGCAAGCACTGCAGTCATGGGATGTATACACCCTCATCTGCTACAGTGCATCTGCAGTTAAAGTAGGTATCGGTTGAGCGGCAATAAAACTGCAGCTCAACTGCAAGGCATTACCACCTCCCAATCTCACATGTAAATAAGCCCTAACAGTGGAGCCAGTCACAGTGTCTCTGATCACCACCCCACCAGTCAGTGTTGCCAGACCAGTGTATCTAGAATCAATGTTTCTGATTGCTACCACATCAGATCAGTACAGCCAGATACAGTTTTCCTGATCACTGCTGCACCAGTCCCAGTGTCACCAAACCAGTGTATGCCAGCAACAGTGTTCCTTATCACCACTACACCAGTCTCAGTGTCGACACAGCAACATAAGCCAGAAATGGTGTCCCTGGTTGGACATTCCTAGTGTCACCAGAGCAGTGTAATCCAGCAACAGTGTTCCTGATTGCCACTGCACAATTTCCAGTGTCACCAGAAAAGGGCAGCAGGCAACAGTGTTTCTGATCACTTCCACACCAGTGCAGTTCTGCCTCTGCCTGCTGCCTGTACTGGCCCTGGCCTGTTTATTGACCACATTTCTGCCTATTGCCTGGTCTGATCCTTTTTCTGTGCATTGAGCTGACCATGTCTCTGTCTGCCACCTGAACTAACCCATCTGCATGTCCCACTGACTACCTTACTGAGAGACATAAAGTCCCAGCCATCCCTGTGGACAGTTCCAGCAATCCTGGAACTAAAAGAACTCTTTTGTTCTTCTTTTCTTCAGCCTGCTGTATTTCATGGCTAATTAACATAGCATTCCTGAGGGCAGCCATGTACCAGGAGGCTAGGCTTGCTTTACTTATAGAAACAGGGACCGCTATTGGTGATGCTACATTAAACTATATTCCATGACCACTCATACAGAGGCAACCTTTACAGTACAATGTTTTCTACAGTATATAGTGTTGGTTGATTTTTGTGACTCACAAGACACAATGTCTGGTACACAATCAGTCCAAACTTTGAAAAAGTTTCACACATGTGTGGTTGTGGTTAAATGTGAACCTGCCCATGGTACATGTAAAAAATATCCTTTTAAATTGGCAACTTTATGTAAAAAACATATTTTTTTTCTTTCTGCATTTTCTAAAAACTTGTGGCAGAAAAATGAAGACTTCGAAAAACTCACCATGCCTCTTATTTTTTGGATGTTTGCTACGGCCCTGGTGCTCCAAGGCCTCCAAAATTGTAATATGTAGTCAGGGAATTAAATGTGCCCTTAGAACGCCTGAAGGTACTCCTTGAATTTTGGATCCTTCTATGTGGTTAGATTGTGAAATATTCTCACATATGTGGTATTGACTCACTTAGGAAGAGTAACAGAATGTGTTTTGGGGTGTAATTCTAAGTATGCCTATACCCTGTGTTAGAAGTACACTACTGTATATTGCCAAAAGTATTGGGACACCCCTTCAAGTCACTGGATTCAGATGTTCCAATCACTTCCATGGCCACAGGTGTATAAAATCAAGCACGTAGGCATGCAGACTGCTTCTACAAACATTTGTGAAAGAATAGGTCGCTCTCAGGAGCTCAGTGAATCCAAGCGTGGTACTGTTATAGGTTGCCACTGATGCAATAAGTCCATCTATGACATTTCATTGCTACTAAATATTCCACGGTCAACTGTTAGTGGTATTATAACAAAGTGGAAGCAACTGGGAACAACAGAAACTCAGCCATGAAGTGGTAAGCCATGTAAAATGACAGAGCGGGGTTAGCGCATGCTGAAGTGCATAGTGCGCAGAAGTCACCAACTGTCTGCAGAGTCATAAGCTAAATACCTCCAAACTTCAGATTAGCACAACAATAGTGCGTAGAGAGTTTCATGGAATGGGTTTCCACGGCCGAGCAGCTGCATCCAAGCCTTACATCACCAATGTAAAGCGTCCGATGCAGTGGTGTAAAGCATTTCTTGTGAAAACAATTTTGTGAAAACTTATTTAATTTCTTAAAGTGTTACCCAGGACCCTGCATTCACTAGATATGGGCTCCCACAGTACACATTACATGGAAATGCAATTATTGTAGTAAATATAAACTGCTAAATACCTTTTCTCATCAGCATTTATATAGCAGTCTTGCGACTTCTATCAGTGTTCAGCAGAGCACTGGTTAAAGCTTGTAGGAGAAGTTTTCATTCTGCTCTGACTGTCCTATGAGGCTGCATAAGCCCTGACCCTCTGTCTGGACAGTGCTGATTGGCCCTTTGCTGATCACGTGCACCCTCCCAAAGAAAACAAAATATCTAGCAATACACACTAAACTGAGCATGTCTAGAGCTCTGTACCATCAGCAGATGGATTGGTACAGTAGAAGAAGGGGAGGATCAGAGAAGAAAGGATCAAACAGCC